CTTTCCTGCCAAATAATTGACAATGTCTGCATACCAAGGCTCCTTTTCTTGTATAGCGTAGGTCCTTTCGAAGGGAAAGGACTCATTCACTATACAATTGCCAAATTGCTCGGCTACTTCCACATTTAGTCGAGACAGGTGATCTGCAGCTTGATTTGCTGATCCTTTTCTATCTTTGATCTGTAAATCAAATTCCTGCAACAACAAAACCCAACGTAATAACCGAGGCTTTGCATCATTCTTTTGCAACAGGTACCGCAACGCCGCATGATCGGTGTAAATGACAACTGGAGAAAGAATGATGTAAGGCCTAAATTTTTCCAAAGCGTGCACAATTGCTAGGAATTCTTTCTCAGTAGTTGTGTAGTTGAGTTGTGCTCCCGATACTAGTTGAGTTGGGTGAAAGATCTTTTCCTTCCTTTGTCCAAGGATTGCTCCTACTACTAAGTCGCTAGCGTCACACATCAGTTCAAATGGTAGTGCCTAGTCTGGGGCAATAAGAACTGGGGCTGAGATCAATTTTTCTTTCAAGGTATTGAATGCTTGTAAACATTCATCCTTAAAAACAAACTCTATACCTTTTTCTAATAGGGCAGTTAGGGGTTTTGCTATTTTAGCAAAGTCTTTGATAAATCTTCTATAGAATCCCGCATGCCCTAGAAAACTTCGGATGGCCTTTACGGAATTCGGTGGTGGTAGTTTCTCTATAGTCTCGATCTTAGCACGATCCACCTCTACCCCACGACTTGATACCTTGTGACCTAAGACTATCCCTTCCTTGACTAAGAATTGGTACTTTTCCCAACTAAGAGCTAGGTGAGTTTCCTCGCATCTTATGAGAACCTTTTCCAGATTACCTAGGCATTCGTCAAATGACTTCCCTGTGATAGAGAAATCATCCATAAAGACTTCCATAAAATCCCCTATAAACTTTTCGAAAATAGCTATCATACACCTCATGAAGGTGGCAGGGGCATTACAGAGTCCGAATGACATTCGACGAAATGCAAAGGTTCCGAAGGGGCAAGTGAAAGTGGTCTTCTCCTGGTCTTCGAGGTTTACATGGATTTGGAAATAACCACTCATCCCATCCAAGAAGCAATAGTATGCATGGCCAGCTAGTTTCTCAATGAGTTGGTCAATAAAAGGAAGGGGAAAGTGATCTTTGCGTGTGGCATCATTTAACTTCCTATAGTCTATGACCATTCGCCACCCAGTCACCGTTCTTCCTGGAACTAACTCTCCTTTCTCATTTTTGGTTACTGTCATCCCTCCCTTTTTCGGAACAACATGGATTGGTGACACCCATTGGCTATCTGAAATGGGATAAATTATTCCAGCATCCAAGAGCCTAAGCACTTCTTTCTGTACTACTTCCATTAATTTTGGATTCAACCTGCGTTGAGCCTGCACAACTTGTTTAAATCCGTCCTCAATGGCTATTTTATGCGTGGAATAAGCGGGGCTTATTCCTTGAATATCCTCTAGTTTCCAAGCAATTGCTTGCTTGTGCATACGGAGGACAGCTAGTAGTTTTTCCTTCTGATCAGGTGTTAGATCGGAGGCTATGACAACAGGGCACTGACCCTCACTATCGAGGAAAGCATACTCGAGGTGTGATGGTAGGGGTTTAAGCTCTAAGGACCTAGATTCATTTGTGGGTTCGGATCGCGTTTTGATTTCACACACCTCCTCACACTTAGGTTCTTGGAAAGCAATTTCTAGGCTTAGGAGATCTTCTACAGATCCCTTATCCTTTATAACTTTAACTGAGTTGCAGAACTCAGCTGGGTCTGGAGTTCGATTCATGACGCTCATCATCTTAAAAGTGACATCTTCATTGCCTACTCTCAGAGTTAATTCTCCGTCGTGTACATTAATTAATGCCTTTGCGGTCGCGAGGAATGGTCGCCCTAGTAATAGCGGCTTTTTCTTATCTTCTTCCATATCTAATACCACAAAATCAGCAGGAAAGATGAACTTATTTACCTTCACAAGTACGTCTTCAATCACCCCCCTGGGGTAACGAATAGAGCTATCTGCTAATTGAAGACACATTTGAGTGGGCTTAAGTCCAGTCAATCCCAACGCTTTCATGATAGAGGAAGGCGTTAAATTAATGCTAGCTCTTAGGTCAGCTAGAGCGTCTCCAAAGGTTCTATTGTTGATGGAGCAAGGGATGATGAAACATCCAGGATCCTTTCGTTTTCTAGGCATTTCCTCAAGTAACATAGCAGAGCATTCAGCATTTAAGCTGAAAACTAGGAATTCCTCCCAATCCCTCTTCTTAGTTACGAGGTCCTTTAAGAACTTACCATATTTGGGCATCTCAGTTAATACATCTACTTAAGGCATTTTGACCTCAACTTGGCCAATAACATCGAGAAACTTTTGGAAAGCCTTCTCGTCCTTGTTCTTTTTCACCCTAGTAGGGAAGGGAAAAGTGTTCAGCTGAGGTTGCCTGGTTGGTCGGGGTTGGCCTGAGGAGGTTCCCTCCTTCCTCGTCTCTTGAGGTACGGAATCAGACTTCTTTTGAGGGGTTGTTCCTATAGAGGTTTCCGCAGGTTCTTCATCTACATTGGCTTCGACTTCTGGGCCTTGGAGCTCTATACCACTTCTCAACGTCATGGCTCAAAGTTGCTCCCTCGGGTTTGGTTCGGTGGTAGCTGGGAGGTTCCCCTGTTCACTAACTCCGAGTTGTTTGAACACTTGTTGGAGTTGGTTATCACGTGTCTTGTCACGTTCCTTCAAATCATCTCTGCCAGATTGTTCATCTTCTGCATGTATTCCATCAACATCTTCTCCATCCTTGCCAAGGAATCTTCTTGCGGAGGTTGGCGATTATGAGGTGGAACGTAGGGTGCGTTGGTATTTTGGTAATTGGTTTTATTGTTATTGTTGGGGACTTGTCGTGCGGTCCAAAACAAATTAAAAAAATTATAAAATATCCTTAACTAACCCCCAAAATATAATCAAATAAAAACTATAGCTAGGGCAAATAAGGGTCGATCCCACGGAGAAAGTTTGTACTTTTGAAAACCAATTTAGCATGCAAACACATTGTCACTAAAAAAATAAAATTAACTACGACACACATAATAAAACTTATAACTAAATAAATATAAAAACTTATAAATATAACTTATATAAACAAAGAACTTATAATATAACTTATAACACTAAACACAATAGGGGGGGGTGTTGGATGAAAAGTAAATATATTTTTGGTTTTTTATTTTTCTTATTTTTTTGATTTTTTGATAAAATGGGGGAAATAAGCTCAAAAGATATTACTTCTCCAATAAAGGTAACCCAAGAAACACCGCCAAGAACCCGAGACAAAATGAAAAAAGAGAACAAACACGAGTTGAACATTACACGTATAATACCGTGCATCTGTTATATAATGCATTGAATGCGTGAATTCTTATTTTTTTTAGTTAGTTTCCGGCTCAGCTAAGTAAAGGAATACCACGATATGGAGGATTGTCAACTCTCCACACGGCCCGGAGTCATGCAATTCAAAGGCCCGTTTTGAAATATACCTTAGAACCCCAACTCTCTATTCAAGCATGAAAACATACTTCTACTATAGAAAAAGTTTATAAAAGAGAGAATCTATTATGCATTCAACTCTCATACATAATCTATTCACAAACCGCCAATACCTTATGTATTTTAATAAACTTTTTCTCCTAATGATGAGCACATTTCACAGATTTCCATGAACTTCTCAAGCCAATGACATTTTTTCTATTCACATAAATGAACACAACATATTTTCACTAAATCAAGAATTGTTTTTGAGCTTAAACAACCTTAATTAATGAAAATAACAAACGAGCACACGAAAACATAACAATCACTCAATAACGAATTCTAAGGAGAATGAATCAACTTATGGAGCTAAGAAGTCCAAATTCCTTAAAATCAACGAACACAAAAACACGACAAAGAATCACATATGAATTCGGAAATCATTTAACTACCTTATGGAGCTAAAATAGCTTCAACAAAAACCAAATTCCACATACCAACCTACTTATGAAATCGAATTATGCAATTCAACCAATTCAACAACAACTTGCTCAATAATTGAAGAAAAACTAGTTTGAATCAATTCTCATTCATAAGGGATTTAATATAGACATAAAAGACCCATAAAGAACACCAACCATTTTTGGAATTTTTGGAACAAGCTAACAAATAAAAAAAATGTAAAAATTAAATTAAAATCAACACTTTACAAAGAACTGGAGAAAAAATTGAAGAAATAACATATAGGGTTACCAATTGTTGAAGAAGATGAAGAAATTGAGGAATTGGAGCTTGAAGGAACAGCCTACCCTCTGCCCGGAGCTACTGCCGACCGCTCGCCGGAACTGATGCCGCCGCCGGTTCGCGTCTGCCGGCCGTCCGCCATAGCAGCGGCTTGGCCGCTGCTTTATTCTCGTGTGTTTCCCCCCTGCGTTCTTGAGTTGATGTTGCTCCAATTTATAGAAAGAAGGAGTAATTTACCGTTGAATTACTTCCCGTTGAGAATTGAATGTCGCGAATTTGATGGAGCCGAACGTTGGAGGAGTTATGCGCGCTGCAATCTACGAAGAGGAAGAACAGCTGGCTCTTTGACTTCTTTTTTTTCCTTGCGTGAAAGTAAAAGTAAAGTGGAGGGAGGTAAGGTTTTGGGCTGATTCTTTAAAGTTGGGTTTGGACTCTGACCCAAAATCTTTCTCTTCTTTCCAAACTTGAACTGCACTTTGGCCTTTTGTTATACTTTTCTCCAAAAAAATAAGATATCTGATAATTTTGAGTTAGGAAAAATAAAATAAAATGAAGACAATAATAAAATGTTAAAAAATAATTAAAAACCTACTATTTTTAAAAGAAAATTAAAAGATTGTAAAAATGAGAATTAAAATAAAACTAAGCTAAACTACTAAAAATTAAACTCTAAAAATATTAAAAATACCTAAAATTGAATAAAAAGAACTAACCCAAACCTGGCTTATCAGTTATTCCAGTTACCTTGTTTATAGTCATCCCTGGGACGATTGTTCCTTGGAAAATTGTTTCTCTCCCGCCAATGCTCCTGATTGTTCTGGGCCCAAGGCCCTTCCCCTTTATTCGCGTATTGTGCTAGATTAACGTCCTTAGCCTTGCTCGGAAGGGGTGGTTCAATCAAGGGACAAGCAGAAGATAGATGATTTTGAAAGCAGTGTTCACAAGACAAGACAAGGTCGGATTGGTGGTGACTACCAGAACCATAAAGCTCAGCTTGATTCACTGGTTCAGTATACAGATTGGGATGTGGGTGGGAAGCTCCTAGGTGCTCCTTGATAGTTTGTTTCACAATGCTCTCCATACTAGCCTTGAGTGTTGTGAATTGGTCTACTTCATACATGCCAGCTTTAGGAGGAGGAGCTCGGTCTTCGTACCAATACTTAGCATTTGACGTAAGCCTGTCTACCAACTCCTCATTCTCCTCGGGTGTCATCTCCAGAAAAGAACCAAGTTTAGAAGAGTGGTCTAATTCTTTCTTGGATGGAACTGTCAAGCCTTGGTAAAAGTAGAACATCAAACTATCGAAATCAATCAAAGCAGGTGGGCATTTAACCTTCAACTCCTTGAATCTTTCCCATGCTTCGCTCATTGATTCCATAGGCGCTTGTCGGAAGTTTTGGATGGAGTTCTTTATTTTTACCATGGCAGAGGGTGGAAAATATTCGTGCATGAATGCCTAGTGCAACGCCTCCCAGGTCTTGAAATGGCCATTAGGGAATGTGTTTAACCATCTAGCTGCCCGATCCCGGAGGGAAAAGGGAAAGAACGACAGTTTAATACGATCCATAGATAGACCGTTGGACTGGAATGTTTGACAGGTCCTTGAAAACCATAGCATGTGTGCCCTTGGATCTTCAGCCTTCGAGCCTCCAAATTGGTTACTCGAGACCATTTGGATCATTGCTGGTGTTATTTCAAACGAATGGGCTTGACTAGCAGGGAGGCCTATGGGATCTTCCTCTACGTACGCCTGGCTCATGGCTTGAAGGATCGTTCGTCCAGGATTAGCCGCCATTTCTTGCTCCTCTTCCTCTTCTGAGCGTTGGTTCTCTTCTTCGTGACTTGCTTCCTCTTCTTCTTCTCTTCTTTGTTCTTCGTCGTGGAACTCCAGTTGACGGTGAATTTTAACGGTGCGACGCCGGAGCAAAAGTTCAGGGTTTTTGGTTCCCGGAAGAATGTTCTCGTTTCTATCAACTTTCTTTCAGGCTAACTAAAAAGTAATCTCACTAATAACTTTCTGCGCCGATCCCCGGCAACGGCGCCATTTGGTGAGGAATTTTTGGTTCAACTCAAAATTCCCGTAGTAGTAAAGGGAACAGACTAGACCTTTAAAAGATTAGTTTTATCCCGTGTCGTCTCAAGGATCGGCCCAAGGGAAAGTTAGCGAGACTAGCTAGACAAGATTTACTCGTTGAATCAAAAAGTTTTCAAAAGGTCGAATAAGGGATGGAGATTGAATTTTTACCTTTCAGGAATAAAAAGTAGGGATGCAATTATTGGTTAGGTGATGGTTTTTTTTTAGAGAAAAATCACCGGTTACTTTTACTTTAAATCTTTTTACTAGTAAGAAAACATCTTTTCAAATATTTACTTAACAATTAATCCAATGTCTAAAGATTAATTATCAGAATTACTGGACTTGACTTAACTAGATTCCAAATTTCTCAGGAAATATAATTTTCAAGAATAGATTTGCTCTCTCTCGATTAACAAATCTCTAGTATAAATTCTCAGTAATAAAAACTAGTAAATTATCTTGACAATAATAAAATTCAACTCAATGATTTTCTCAGAAGGTTACCATCACCATTCCAATAATCACATCCCTAATCAATTTAGCTACTCATAATAAAAACCTTCAACACACATGCATCATAAGAAGACATTTTTCAATTAAAAGTAAAGAGTGACAAACTTACTTCAACAAATCTGAAGAACTGGAGGTTCGGGCTACAACTTGCTCTGTGAAAACTCCGAGAAATAATACTAATCTAAAGTATGAAAGTAGCTTTGTAAATCTAGACTAAAAGTGGAGAATTTCGGACTTGAGGGAGGAGAAGGGTGCTGTGCAGTCCGCAATATCGAAGAGGGGAGTGCTGTATTTATAGGACTGGACGCGAAGCGTCCAACCCCAGCCGTCCAGATCCAAAGCGTCCAAAGTTGGACGCCTTGCACGGCCCGTCCATTCGCTGCTTGCCACGCGTCTTTCGTGATGCCCAATCATCGCCAAGCGTCCAAGGGGAAGCGTCCAGCTTGCAAGCGTCCAAGGTTGGACGCCCCGGGCCTTTTCCTGTGGGCTTTGCCGCGGCTTGATCCAATTCAGGCCCAGTTTCAATTTTCACTTTGCTTTGCAATTTGTTTCAGCTCCCTCCGATATTCTCATGATAAAATTCTCAGTTAAAAACTTCTTTTTCTTCCAAATATGAGTAGAAAAATCAACAATCAAGACTGGACAAACTTTAAACCAATTATTGTTCCTTAAAGAACAAATCAAAGATATTGTTCAGTTTAACATAAAATTATGTACTGCTTATCACTATTTTTGTGCAATACCGCTTAAAATATGTAGAATAAAATAAGAACAAAATGAACTTATCAAATCTCGTTGTCCGCAAGAGCCTTCTCACCACCAAGGATGACTCCAAGGACGACTAGTTGAGCACTAACATCTTCCACACTGCCTGGTCTCAAAAATCGAGGGCCCGCGTACCGTGCATTGTACAGCATTTCGAAAACAAATCTTGCACTAAGGCAACGCCAATTGCAGAGTTGCACGCGTCAGGATGACTTGCATCGTTGCCATTCCCTTCGGACCGCTAGTGCCGTACAAGAGTATCAAAAAATTACCAAGCGTACGCCTTTGCATTTCCCTTAGGGGCTGCTTTGAAGTCACAGCCTCCGCAATTAACTCGAAAAAAGTTTAGAGGGGTTTGGGATCCGGCTGGGGGGAATCAAAGCAACAAAGGGCTGAATCTCAGAGGATCGTGGCAGCAAGGCCACTCTACCGCTTACAATACCCTGTTGCGTATTTAAGTCGTCTGCAAAAGATTCTACTCACCGCACGATCAAAATTGAACCTCAAGGCATCCACCGGAACCATTGCGTCACGGCGGATTAGCCTTCGACACGTGCCCCTGGGAACAAAAGCTCCTACTGCTGGTCGGCAAACGAGCGGCGAGTCCAAGCGTCGATCTAGCACGGATTCTGACTTAGAGGCGTTCAGTCATAATCCAACGCACGGTAGCTTCGCGCCACTGGCTTTTCAACCAAACGCGATGACCAATTGTGCGAATCAACG